CCCCAGGACCGCCTTCCCTCCTTCCCGAACGAGATCGCCTTTGCTGTGATCGAGGAGGAGCTGGGCCGGCCCATCCAGCAGGTACGTCGGATTTTCGCGCCTCCATTGTTTTGTTGCAGCCAGCAGCTGCATGAGTGCGCTGAGCCCCGTGCCGCGCCATGTGGCTTTGGCTGGCCGGCTGGGCGGCTGGGCGGAAGCTTCGCGGGTGGCAGCTGCCTGCAAACGCCCGACTGCTATCTCTCAATGTATTGTTTTCGGTGACGCCTGATGGTGTGCCCACGTTTGCGCCCGTGCCGCAGATCTACTCGGAGATTTCAGAGGAGCCTGTAGCAGCCGCCAGCCTGGGCCAGGTGCGAGGGGCACTCACTGCTGCGAGCCCTGGCCACCACTCTCATCCCGCATGCCACCTCTTCCCTCCAACACTTCCCCCCACACACACACACACGCATGCTGCCCAGCAAATCAACTCGCCACCCAACGCAACAAAACAAGGGGTGCCCGCCAATCAGCTCGGCAGCACATGCGAGCGGCATCTCAAAATCACTGCAACAGCCTCGACACCCGCTAACCACCAACCCCCAGTGGCCCAACCGACGCGCTCCGCCGCACCCCTCCCCCATAAACCAATGTTGGGGTTCATGACACCTGACAGGTGTACCGCGCCGTGCTGCGTGAGACCGGGGAGCGCGTGGCCGTCAAGGTCCAGCGGCCGGGCATAGGGGAGTCCATCGCCATCGACATGCTGCTGCTGCGGCGGCTGATGGGCGCCGTAGACACCAGCGTCCTGCCGCAGATCGGGGTGAGGGTGTAGGGCGCGGAAAAAAGTTTGATTAGCGGCCCTTGTGGTGTCCTGCCTGACCCCTGTGAGGGCACCGGGTCGTATCAGATCCAGCAGGCGTGCGAAACATGAGTTTGCGGCGCTGGTCATGAAAGCCAACGGTCGTGCTGCAACTGCAGCCAGGCGCGGCGGCCGCTGGTCGGATCGTCGCGCCAGCCGCGCTCGCTCGGGTTGGCCCCCTTTCATCTTCCGGCCTCTCCTCGATCGCTCACTCTGACCCTTCGTCTTCCTGTGCATGCGCCGTCGCCGCAGATCTCGCAGCCTTTGGTGCCGCTGGTGGACGAGTTTGCCGCGCGGCTGTTTGGCGAGTTGGACTACGTCCAGGAGGGCAAGAGCTGCGAGAAGTTCCAGGTGGGCGGACTGGCCGCGCACTGCCGCGTGTGCGCGTGTGTGGCACACATTGGCATGCGTATGAGCGTGCAGGCGCGCGCTGTGTGCAGGGGCGGGTAACCAGGCATGTGCATACGTATGCCATAAACAAGCGTGGACGTGCGGTTTCCTGTGTGTGCATGCGTCGTTGTGGCAGATGACGGCTGGTCTGTGCTGCTGCGGCCGTCGCTGGGGCCATCGAGTCCCAGTCCGCCTCGCGCCTTGGCATCCTGGGGTGTTGAGGGTGGAGTCTGGGGTCCCCTGCCCTCCCAACCCGCCCAAGCAACTGCGCCCATCTCAACCCCGGCGCCTACAACTCGCGACGCTCCTCCGCCCCGCCCTCGAACCCAACCCGCTAAACCCCCAGGAGCTGTATGGCGGCATGCCGCGCGTTCGCACCCCCAAGATTGTCTGGTGCTCGACCAGCCGCCGTGTTCTGACGATGGAGTGGATAGAGGGCGTGAAGCTCACAAATAAGTGAGCGCGCGAGGGCAACGCTGGAATCCGCTCACGTTCCACCCTGATTTCGTGCTGTTTGTTGGGTACTTTTCCATATGATGGAGTTGCTGGGTTCGCGAACTGGCGTCCACCGTCTGGCGCAATGCTGGCGGGGGGGCGCGCTTGCGCTGTGTCGCCTCCATCTGCCAGGGTTCTGCTCGGTTTCCTTCGGTTTCCTTTGTTGACTTCCCGTCAACGCCTGAGCCCGCGCCTTGACGCAACCAACCCCTGTCAAAAGGAATCGAACCCCGTTGCCGCATCTTTCTTGCACCCGCGGCCCACTCCTTTGATCCTAGGGAGGCCATGGCGGCGGCAGGGCTGTCCATTACCGACTTTGTTGACGTGGGCATCGAGTGCACCCTGAGGCAGCTGCTGGAGCACGGCTTCTTCCACGCAGGTGAGGTCCAGGCATGGGAGGGCCCGGGGAGTAGGTGTATCTGCCTCTGTGAAAAATGGATGGCACGTTCAAGTGTCTCTACACGACAAGTTGGGGAGGTAACGTGGCAGGTTTGCGACGCCGTCGCTGGTGCGCATGTGGGCGGCTTCTCTTGCCTCTTGACGCAGGCTCCCGCTGCTTTTCCACGATGCGTCTCCCAATTGCCGTATTGGGAGCCCACGCACCCCACACAGCCGCCTACACCCCCACCCCCCCCCACCAACCCGCAACCTGGGCGGCTGGTGCCACCATCGACCTCCTCACCACCACTCCCCCCCACACGCGCAAGCACTCACTCTCTCTCTCTCTCGCACACACACACACACACACACACACACACACACACACACGAACACACGCATGCACGCACACACGCACACACGCAAACAACCGCCCCCCAACGCCCCCCCAGACCCTCACCCCGGCAACCTGCTGGCGTCCCCTGACGGCACCCTGGTGTACCTCGACTTTGGCATGATGAGCGAGGCCCCGCAGTACGCGCGGTTCGCCATCATATCACACGTGGTGCACCTTGTCAACAGGTGGGCACGCCACGGATTCATCTGATCTTTTTATAACCGATTGTATCAACAGAGTGGTTTGCGGGATGCCTTGCAGTGGGTACGCTCCTGTGTTTGTATCACACAGCATGCAGAGTGATATTCAACGGTTGGTTCAAACTGCTGCGGTTCGTCCCACGCCATGGTTCATGGCGGCTTCCTTGTCGCTTCTATCTTCTCGCGCCCGGACTCCACCCCGCCCCCTCACGCCGCCCCCGCGTTCGCCCAACCGCGTCCAGGGATTACGAGGCGATGTGTCGCGATTACTACACCCTGCAGTTCATGGACCCCTCAGTGGACACGCGCCCCATAGCCCCGGCCCTGCAGGCCTTCTTCGACGATGTCCTCGAGTCCTCGGTTTCAGAGGTGCGGCGCCTCACAATTTGTGTTGGCAATCGGGCGCAGCGCCGCATTGGGCGGCCGCGTCTGCATGATGCAGAAACAGGTCCGTGCTTTGGGGTGCCGGGTGCAGCGGTCGAGTGCAGATTGTTAATGCCTTGTGGTGTTGGTCGGTTGGTCGATTAGGGCGCCTCGGCTCACAGCCTTCAACCCCCTCAGCAACGCCCAATTCATGAACCGTGACCTACCGCACCCCTTGACCACTCTCACTGGTGCACCTCAACTCCGCCGTGCCGCCCTTCTAATCCCTCAGCTCAACTTCAAGGCCATCGTGGACGGGCTGGGGGCGGTGCTGTTTGAGTATCCCTTCAGGTGGGCGCTTTCTTGACCGGATGACCAAGCCCGCTTTGTTTTTGGGGAGAGAACCCCTGGGGGGGGGAGCGGGTGGAGAGGCTGCCTTGCGCGTGTCGCATGTTGTTGTTGGGCGGGGGGGCCGGGTTGCCGTGCGCGGCCTGGAACGGGGAACTTGTGTAGGCGTCAGCGCTGCACCCAGGGCAGTGCCACATCAACGGCAAGACTGCGAGGCAGACGCCGCTGTTCAACGCGCCCCTGCTCTCTGTTTTGCTCAAGCTCGCCACAACAGTCATCTCTATACACACACGCACGCGCACACACTCACATTCACACTCACACAGATGCACATAAGCACACATACACCTGTGCAACCTCACACCCCTTGCTGACAACCACCACCTCAACACCCCCCCCCCCAACACACACACACACCAAACCCTCCCCGAACCCCACCTCGACACCCCAGGGTCCCTGCGTACTACGCTCTCATCCTGCGGTCACTCACAGTACTGGAGGGCCTTGCACTGCAGGCAGACCCCAAGTAAGCGGGGCTGCACTCACATGCAGCCCAACACTCACGCATGCACTCGCGCGTTTCGTGCATGCAGGCAGGGGGGGCGACCTCTGCTCTCCTCCAAAGCCGTGGGCCGCCTGTCTCGGCCTTGACGTCGTGCGGAGATGCGCGCCTGCATCTCGTCTACACCCTCGGTCCCCCTGCCCTCCGCATTGTCCCCCCAGCACACCTCCAGTCTGCAACGCACACCCCACGCGCTCGCTCACGCACACCGCAACTCTTAACCCCGCCTCTCACCCTCAGCTACAAGCTGCTGGCCAAGGCATACCCCTACATGGCGCGCCGCCTGCTGACAGACCCCGCGCCAGAGCTGAGGGGCAGCTTCGAGGAGCTGGTCTTCCAGGTGGGCCGCGGCGAGCCAACTGCCCCTGGCAATTGGGGGCGGTTGCGGCGGTTGCGGCGGGCGGCGCAAGGCCGGGGCCCGGTGGGCCGCCGGGATGGGATTGATGGCCTCAGGGGCCGCGGCTGCTCGGCCAAGAACCTCTACATCATTGCGTCCGCAGTGGCTGTCGCGCAGTGAGCGCACCCCCCCTCTCCTGGCCCCCCATGTTGCCTTTGATGCCCCATCCTTCCAACAGCACAGGGCTGCTAGTGGCTGTGCATTTGGCATGCAACAGTCGACCACCCACCAACCACCGCCACCAGCTATGCACCATCACCCACCCATCACGCACGACCTCTGCCACCAACCATCACCAACCACCACGAACACCTGCGACCGCCACCAACCGACGACAGGACGACCGGTTCCGCTGGAACCGGCTAGAGAACCTGCTGCGGGAGGGCAGCAAGAGCCAGGACTTTGACCCGACACAGCTCTGGCTGCTGGCGGGCTGGCTGCTCGGGCCAAATGCGCCCAAAATCCGCGAGAAGGTGAGGGGGCGGTTGGGTCGCACGGCGAGGTGTGCGCGGCGGCGGTGCACGAGACGGGGCGGGGGCGGGGGC